CTCAAAAAAGGGAGTAATGTAGTTAGAAACTTAGTGATCATCTGGAAAAAGTAGCTCAATTGGACTGAAAGTAAACGACTGCAAATAAGCCATGTGCTTATTTGTGCTTATTTTATGCTGGACAGGTTTTAAGAATATAATTGAATACATTAATGTATAAATATTAATATATAAATAATATATTAATTTTTCCAGGACAAAATGCATGATCTGATCCTCCATCAAAGTCTTGAAGGAAATGAAGAAGGAAGGAACTAAGAAGAAAGAAATTAAAAAGGAATTAAGAAGGCCTTGAAGGAAAGAACCTGCTCTGATAAATCATTGCTATTAGGAAATTGATAGGATTTATTTATAGAACAATGATCCAAAGCCTTATTTTCATGCTTTATCTCAAACAGCAACTACGCATAGTGGAAGAAAAAGTTGTGCAAGAAAGCTCAGGGGTAGAGCAACTTAAAAAATTAATAACTTTGAAGCTGTGGTGAGGCAGAAAAACCACACAGACTGCATAAGAAAAGAGGCATGGAACACAACTTGCTTAAATGACCTTCCTTTCAAAAGGAGAACAAGTAATGAGTAAAACCAGCTGAACTGTTTAAGACAGAAACATAGACTACAAACAGACAAGTCTTTTGCAGGTGGCATCAAATTGTTGTGCCGCATCCTGCTTAGGCCAAACAGCTTCACAACAATGCATTTTCTAACATCCAACAACCTATGAAATTCATAGTGGTCAAGTATTTTAACTTCTTCGCATCACTATCATAGTTGGCATTAATATAAACAGCAACTTGCTGGACTGCTACAATACTACAAATAGGTTTCAGGCAGGAGGGCAGTAATTTAGAGGCACAAGATGGAACAGACAGAAGCAAAAAGTTCAAGGGTAAAGGCTTTTAATCATTGCAACTTCCCAAGTAGGACACAAACCAAAATTATTGCAGAAATGATTGAAATTTTCATTGAAACTGAAGGCACTCATTTCAGAACCAAGCAGCTGTGTGTAATGCCAATGACAATAACACGTATTTACTTACTAGCTCATTACTGTTCTTAACTGTGCAAAATTACTGGATGGTAAAAAGACATAATATATTGGATGATCTCTTCTTTGTCAATTATTGCTCAAATTGTTTATTCTGTGAATAAATGTTAACAGTAAGACCTACAACAAAATCAGCTGAAATTCATATGGGGATTTTCAAACCCAAAAATTTGCTTTTGTAAGCAATCTGATGTTCTATCTTAGACTATGAAAGATGATCCTAGAAACAATTCATGGCTGCTGTCAGCCATATCAGTCAGTTATTACTATACTGCTGTCCTCCCTTCAAATGCTGCAGTATTCCAGTCACCTAACAGTGGCACTTCGAGAAATCTATAAAGCAAATAGGACACATGAATTATATGCTATGTTAGACAGGAGTCAAGGCTGAAAAGAAACAGAAAAGCAAGCTGTTCAAATCAGAAGGCTGATTCAGGTTTTGTTTCCTGCATTTAACTTTGGCCTGTCAAGGATAGGGATGTTCCTAGATTATATTTTTTAAGCAGAATAAGAATACAAGTAGATGGCTTATGAAAGCAGTAATGGCAGTGACTATAAGAGACACTATATATCTCTTCTTGAACTAATTTCAGAAAACAGATAAATTGAGTGAAACCAAAATTTGTGTTTGGTCTCCAACATAAACTGTCTCAGGAGATTCACTTCAGTTTCCAGCATTCAAGTACTTCAGTTCCCAGCACTGATCAGCCATAGACACAAAGTCTTAACAGAAAACAGATGACTTGCTGCTTCTTTTATCTGCTGCCTATATCACTCCTCCTACCCTTAAATTACTATAAAATGTAAACTTAAGATAAATATTTTAAGTCTTTAAGTTTAGACAAGAGCTTGGGTTTTCTTTGCTCTCCAACTCTCCCCAACATCACCCTCACACGTGTAGATGTGTAGGTAGTATCTAGCCATAGCAATCAGCAAATTTGGGACCACAAAAAAACCCCAAAAAAACAAAAAAAAAAACTAAGCTCCTAAAATTTGCAATTATTTGACTTCAAACCGAAAAAATTAGCTCTAGCTTTCCTGAGGTACCAGTACAAAAGTATGTTCCCTGAGCTTTCATTTCTGTAACCAGGGTTTGCTTTCCTAGTTCTCCATGCCCCATAGAAACTATTTTGCTGCCTGGGCAGTCAGCCAAACGTTATAACTGCAGAACAAATCTTTCTTGATTTACTTCAACAGAACTTCATGAATATTCTCGGAAATGCTAAGCTGCTTTATTAGCCTTCTGAATTATTAAAAGTTCTCAAGCTAATTCCTTGTTATTAATATTTTGACTTTGTTTTATGATTGCATCTGTCTGCAGATTATGCTTACAGGTCATGTCTAATAGCTTCTTCATGCACTGCAGTAGATGTATTTTATTTTAGGCAAATACATTATGCATAATTGTTCACTCTTCTAAACTGATGAGGCTCAACTTTTTCAAAAGCATAATGAAAATCAAGGGTCTAGTTTCCAGTTGTTTAAGGCTATTAATTCTTTGGTTCCTTACAGGCTTTTGTACTGCCCTGGCACACATCCTATCATGGCCCTTTCCATCTTATCAGTCTCTGAAGAGTGTCTAGCCTTCATCCTTTCCATCCCATTTCTTCCATTATGTCTTGCTTCTCTCTTATCCTGATTTCTCCCCACTCTCCTCACACCCTCCCCACTACCATTCCCTGTGCTGGCATGCCCTTTCTTTATCAGTTGAATATATTGTGTAGAAAGCTCCTGGTGTGGATGTTTGTCAGCTGTTTGTGGTCTTGCCAGTGGAGATACAGTTGTATCTACAATCTGCCAGTGAATACCTCCAGATGAATCACATCTTTGAGTAGATCTGTAGTAAGTAATGAGTGCTGTCAAGGGCTACAAGCAGCTGTGGTACTTAACAAATCACACTGCATGTACAGTCTAAATTCCTAGTACAAATTACCAGTCCTGATAGCAGGTGGTGGAAGATTTAGACCATTTACTTAATTTCGTCTTTCTACTGTCAGGAAAATTAATCTGCAAACACCAGAGGTTTATGTCCAAAAAGGAGACAGAGTCCTTTGACTTTATTCAAATAAAAAGAGAGGCCATGGGGCATTCCCCTGGGGTGTCTCAAATTTTTGGAGGGCTCAGCCCCCCTTTTATCCTAATTTCCCAGCCGCTTGTCCTTTCTCTCTTTCCCCATAGGCTGAGGTACCTGAGAGGCTTCCTAGAATGCCTAATACCTATACATTAGATTCCGCCCTAATGTATTACCCCCCTCTTAATTCTTAACCCTTGTGGAATTTTATAGTGTTTCCCCAGTGTCTCTTTCATCTTTCAGTGGAATCCATCCCATTGTTTCTGTTATCTCTCAGTGATAGTTTCATCTTATCAGCAGATGCACAGCTTGTTTGTAAAGACAAACCCATTCCTCTCACTACAAAAGCTAAAGATATGGTTGTGGATTTGTGGGGGGTTTTTTTTGTTGTTGTTTGGGGTTTTGTTTGGTTGGTTGGTTGTTTTTTTATTTCGTTTTTATTAGCATTTCACTTGCAATATTGCTCCTCCCCTAAGGGAGGAGCCCTGGTGATTTTCACTTCAAAGCACTGCCACCAGATAATCTACCCTGGCACGGAGTCATCATGTAAATGACCCTGATCTGCTACAGAATTTCGTGAGTCTTGTTACAGTCAAACTCATCAACTTGAGTTACGATTAGCATCTATCTCCCAGGCAGCCATATGGACATTATTTAAAAATGAAAAATCTCGTAACAAATCTTGATTTGTTACAACATCTAATTACTTTCACTTAAACAAATGGACAAGCAAAAAGCCCCAAATAACAGAAAGCTCAGTTCTCTCTTTTCTGACCACAATTTGTTTCATTTAAATTCACCTTGATTATTTTTATGCCTTCTCTAGCTTGGCTAAAGATTTTTGGCACCCAGTATTTTGTCTCCAAGAAGGCACATACATAGTTTGATCTTTTTCAAATTTGTATTTCAAACATTTCTCAGTGAATACTGGGTTATGACAAACTTTCTGTAGGGCTGTCCCTAAATGCCCAGGGATTTAACTGTCCCAGACTTTGAAATGTCCCAGAGCTGCCCAGAGATTCTGAAACTGCCATTCAAATTCTGCTTAGCCTGGAGAGGAGAAGCTCCAGGGAGACCTTAGAGCACCTTCTAGTATCTGAGGGGTTCTGAGAGAGCTGTACAGGACTTCTACGAGACAACGTACCACCGGGACCCACACAACTGCCTTCCTCACTTTCTGGCCAGAAACGAGCGAGATAGTGTGGGTCAAGATGTACAAAGTGCCGGGGCAGCACCGCCTCGCCCCTCAGGTCTTAGCCCCGCCCCACCGCGCC